AGGAGTGTGGCTGTTTATTCCAGCCCAGTATAAGCAGAGAAAGGTGGGTCCAGATGAGTCCCGGGTTCTGGTGAGAGAGTTAGCTCAAAAAAATCAAGGTGGACTGTAGTGACAATTTTGGATTCTTTAAAAACAGGGAGAGAATATATTTTTATTTTAATCAGAAGTGTGGGGACATGGGGCTGTTTTGTAGCAGCTATGATTTGCCTCGTGCTCTGGCAGGGGTGGGATTTTGCCAGCAGCGGGTAGGTTCTGTGATGGTGTGACATTTGGAATTCTGGGGACTTCTCAGAGACTGTATAAATGCTCGGGCCCCTCCAGGCGGCCTAGGTTGTTGGCTGTTTGTTGTTCTCATTTTTTTTTTTTAAGCTGTCACATTCAAAGAAGAAACAACAACATTAAGAAATTAGGCGTGCTGGTGGCAAAGATCAAACTTGCCCCAAGAAACTCTCTGCCCCTAATCAGCAGGAAGTAGTCTAACGATGTTACCCCCCTTTCCTTTCTGACCCCCGACTTTCTTCAAGGATCTTTCCTTTCCTCTCTATTCCTCTTTTTCTCTTATATCTAGTGTTGGGGGTTGGAAGGGAAGAAGAGAGGGGTAGAGAACGGTGGAAGAAAGAAGAACCCACAAAGTAGCAGAAGGCCAGCTCCAGTGGACCTTTGGCCACATAGTGCACACACGCACACACACGTGTGTGAACATATAGACACACATGAACCGGCACACACAAACACATACAAACAGGGCATACGAAGCCCACTGTCAGAGAGGGCTCAGACAGGATGGAAGTGAAGCACATGGCACAGGCTGGTGGCCCTTGGTTCCTTCCTGGCAGGCCAACTCCACCTGCCACTCAGAGAAGAATCCCCTTGAAGGGAAGCTTTGTGTCCTACTCAGGGCTGCATCCTTAGACCCTCTACCCTTGGCACATAGTAGGTGTTCAGTGTAGTTCCTCACTGGATGGGTAAGTCAGTAGCGACGGGGACCATGCTCTGCCCATCTTGGTGCTGGGAAGCAGATTTGTGTGATATCTACCAGCTCATTTGAGGGAGTGTTTGCGAACAGAACAGCTTTGGAGAAATGCTGTTGGGCTGTGTTTCCAGTCCAACTGAGAAAGATGCCGTGATGGGTAACTGTATGTGACAGTTGGCTGGGCTGAGGGATGCCTAGATAGTGGGAAGACGCCATCCCTGAGACTGTCAGGGAGGCCACTTCCAGGAAGGCAGTTATGAGTGCACAGACTCAGTGAAAGGCCTAGCTGCACAGGGCGTTATCCCTAACCCAGGGTGGGCCTGCACAGAGCAGGAGGATCAGAAAATGTCAAGGGAGGCTCTGAGGAGGAGATAGCCATCCTCTGCGCTGGGATTTTGAGGCTCCAACCCTGGGTTCTTCAAGCTCGGGTGGTGGCCCATCTCTACTATTTCCCCGACCCCTTTCCTGGGGCCCAGGGCTTCCAGCTCGGGCTGGAACTGTATTGATGGTTTGTTTAGGGCTCCAGCTCCGGCCCCCACACTCACGTGAGTCGCCTCCCAGAATAAATCTGTCTCCCTATTGGTTCTGTTTTCCTGAAGAATCTTGACTGAGACAAAGACTTACTTATCCCAAATCTTTTCAAGCCTTTCGTAAAATGAGGCTACTAATAACACCGCCATAAGATTATTCTGAAGGGTAAATGAACATCGAAAGTGTTGGCTTTGTGCTCTTCCCTGAGCCTCGTTTTCCTTTTCTGTAAATGGGTATATACTCATTCCTTCACTCATTCACTCAACAGACACGTGTTCAAGACTCAGGGAAGGGTAGCCAGACTTCTGGCTACTTTATTGTTTTTATTTTCTGTTTTTTTCCTGCCTCCCTACACTGACTCTATCCCTTCTAACCCCCCAACACCGATAGGAGAGAAAGAATGTTAGAGGGAAAGGGGGTGTCAATACAGACTGCTTCGTGCTGATTAGGGGCGTTGACTTCCTTGGGGCCAGTTTGGTCATGTTATCAGGATGTCTCCAACCAGCAACCAGTAATCCAGCAAACAGCAGCAACCAGCAACCAGCAACCAGCAGGAGCAACAGCCCCCTATCTCTTGGGGCTCTGGCGTCTGTCTGTCCTCTGAAGAGTCCCCAGAATTCAAAAGGTAAACTAACCTCAGCTGGCAAAACCACAACCCTGCCAGAGCATGAGGCAAATCATAGTCAGCTGCTGTGGACAATTGAAAGCAGCCCCACCCCCCACACCTGGGATTAAACCAAAAAACATATTCCCCATAGTAGTACTTGGTTAAAGAAACTAAAATCCTCCTTACAGGGAAGTAACTTGGCAGTGGTGGCACACGCCTTTAAGCCCAGCACTTGAGAGGCAGAGGCAGGCAGATCTCTGAGTTCAAGGCCAGCCTTGTCTACAGGACAGCCAGGGTTACACAGGGAAACCCTATCTGGAAAACAAAACAAAACAATTTTGTTTTCCACCTTCTCCAGTGAACCTCCCCCCAACACACACACACACGCACACACATGTACACACACTCAGTGGGGAATGATGTTAGAGAAGCTGACACTAAAGTCTAGGTGGTCCCTGCCTTGTTCTGCAAGTACATGCCAACAAGTTTCCTGTGGGATGCAGTGGGAAGCTGAGGTAAGGGAGATGTGGAGGAGGCCAGGCTAGACCTCTGGGCTCCTGCATCCAAGCATCACATGCTTATCCCATCCACTAGCTTAGCTCCAGGGAACCGACTCCCGACAGCCAAACTCAGTAAGAGACTGAAACATTTGAAGTAGAAAATTTACATTTAAGCTAGGTGTGTGTTCGGAGGGATTATTCATCTCCAGTGACCAAAATCTTTGCACCTGCTACCCACAGCGGTCTTTTATCTTTCATTTTTCGGTGGAGAGAAATTTATATGCCAGGGGTATTTAAATGTCAGGAGTGGGTGTGTTGGCAACAGCTTGGACAGGGTTAGGAGGAAGTCTCAGCGGCCCATCTGCAGCAGGCCTCGGGGAGGAAGCAAGATTTCTGAGGCGAGGGCCTGGCTGGCCTGCCTCTTCTGTGGGAAAGGCCTCCCTGCAGGATTTTCCGTCTTGTCGATGCCGAGTTTCGCTTTAAACTGCAGCTGAAAGCAGATCTTTCCCCCTTGGCCTGTTACTCCTCTTCGTTTGCCTCTCCCTCTGCTGTTGTCTCTGTAGACTGTTTTGCATGAGAGACCCACACAGCAGCACATTCCGCCCTCGGTGAATTCCACGGCGCAGGAGGGCTCAGACTGAAGCCGGTGGCTGCCAGTGCCTTGGGGCTGGGCACACGTGTCTGACAACACATGCCTGTGTCTGTGTGGGCTGTGGACGTGTCTGTGGGTACGCCTGCACACATGCCAATGTTTGCCAATACAGACGTGTCTACGTACACGCTGGCACGGTCGCGAGGGTGTCCGTGCCGAAATTAAGCGTGCGTCTGCATGCAAGCACGCGCCCACACGGCAGCCTCTGTAAGCAGGAAAAATGCAAATGTGCATATACATGCATGTCCTGTGTATGACCCGCACATACGTCCAGGTCGCCGCGTCTCTCTGTCTGGCCCCTCTTTCTCTTTGGTTCTCATGTGAGCGTCTCTCACCCCACCCTGGCCACGTTTCGGTGGCGGTTTGCGAGGACCCCTGGAGATACTGATTCAGCCAGACCTAACCGCGGCCACAGCTCTCCAGTTTGCTCCAGCCATGCCCATCCCCCAGCGCGAAGCAGCTGGACCACGGCGGCTGGTCCGAGCCCTGAGCATCCCTGGCCACCAGCAACCTGGCCATCCCCGGCAGGTGCTGAGAAGCAGCGACAGCGTCGCCCAGCGATGGGCAGAGCCTTCCGGACCAACCTGGTCTCCCGGCCCTTCCCGGGGCGACCGAAACGCGGAGCGGCGAAAGGCGGAGGTGGGCGGTGGAGGGGGCGTCTCGGTCGCTCGGAGTCCGGCGAAAGCTGGGCACAAACCAATGGGTGACCGTGGCCCAACGGGGATCCCTCGGCGGCAGCCAATGACCTCGCTGTGCTCTGTACCCCGCCCTCCCCACCGCGCGCAGCTGGACCATTGGAGCCCGCACGATGGGGGAGCGCAGCGCCGGGACCGCGAGCGGGGGGCGTGGCCCAGGCTACGGCCCGCCCACCCCTCCCGGCTAGGCTCCCCATTGGTCGAGCCGCGGCGCCGAGGCGGGAGGGGAGGCGGGGCGCGGGGCGCGCGTGTGGGCGTGGCCTGAGGGCGTGGCCGGCGGGGGGCGGGGCGGCGGCGCTGTCGCAGTGAGAGCCGGAGCCGCGGCCGCCCGTCTGGAGCTGCGGCGGGGGAGCCTGCGTGGCGAGCGGAGCCGCGGGGCCGGGAACAGGTGATCGCAGCGGGAGCCCCGCGCCCTCCCGAGTTGCGGCGCCCGAGCCCGCGCTTCTGGGCGCAGCGGCGGCCTCCCAGCGCTGGGCTGACCGAGGCCAGCCGCAGGCTTCGCACGCGCTTCCCGGGCATCCCTCTGCCCGCGCGAGCATCCGGAGCCCCCGGGTCCCGCGCAGCCTCGGGAGCGGCAGCTGCGCGCGGCGGAGCAAAGTTGTGGTCGGGTCCCGACCGCCGGGCCCTGCTCCGCCACCGGCGGCCGGGCGCGCGCTCCAGGAGCGGCGCTGGCGCTGCAGCCCCGGGGGCTCCCGTGGCAAACTGCTCCAGAGGCTGAAACTTCGGGACCCGGCGGGTCGGGGCCTGCGTCCTGCGTCCCCTCGGCGAGGGCGTCGCGGACGGGATGTGACGGCTCCGGCGCGGGAAGGCGCGGGAGGGCGCGGGTTCCGCGGACCAGGCGGAGGGCAGGCTGCGGCGCACGGCGGGCCCGGGCTCCAGCCGAGCCGCCCCCCTCGCCCGGGCCCCGCCGCGGCCGCCGCGCCCCCGCCCCCACCCCGCCCCCGCGCGGGAGGACTTGCTCCAAACTCCCTGAACTTCGGGCGGCTCCCGGAGCGGCGGCCTCGGGGTGCGCGGCCCTGCCCGGGGACCCCGGCCGCTGCGCTTTGGCTTCCCACCCTTGAGGACTCCGGGGGGCCCCTCCCGGGCGGAGCTGACCGCTCCCCGCTGCTGGCCGCGCCGCGATGCTCGTGAGGAAAGTGCCGGGCTTCGCCCCGGCCTCGCCGTGGGGGCTGCGGCTGCCGCAGAAGTTCCTCTTCCTGCTCTTCCTCTCGGGCCTCGTCACCCTCTGCTTCGGCGCCCTGTTCCTGCTGCCCCACTCCTCCCGCCTCAAGCGCCTCTTCTCGGCCTCGCGGACCCAGCAGCCCGGCCTGGAGGTGATGGCCGAAATCCCCGGGCACCACCCGCTGCCCGAGCAGGAGCCGCCTCCCAACCCTGCCCCGGCCGCCCCGGCCCCGGGGGAGGACGGTCCCGGCCGCCCGGTCGGTGTCCTCCACAGGAAGGGCTGGCTGCGGCGCACCCGCCCCACCGGGCCCCGGGAGGAGGGCAACAGCGTCGCGGCTCCCCGGCCGCGCGAGGAGAGCGTCCGCTTCAGTTTCGACTACAACGCTTTCCGCAGCCGCCTTCGGCACCCGGTCTTGGGGACAAGGACTGACGAGAGCGAGGAGTCCCAGAGTCTCGTGCGAGCCCAGCGAGAGAAAGTCAAAGAGGTAAGCGTCCTCCGGCACACTCCTCCCGACTCCTAGCTGCAAGCATTCCCCCTCCCCGGCCCCTCCTGGCTCCCGGTCCACCTGCGACCCCCTCGGGCACCTGCGGCACCGCCTCTCTCCCGTTACTCTCTCTCCTCCGTGCACACTTTGCGGGAACTAGGGGTGCAGTTCTCGGCCCCGACCCAACCTCCGGGTGCATCTCTCCTGTAGAGTTCCCGGCCCTGGTGGGCTGCTCGTAAGCGGCTTCTAGGTCCTTAGTTTGCATTTGGACAGAAGGGAGGCACTGGAAAGCTCCCTCGCTGCGTGTCCTTAAGTCCTGGCTTCTCTTAAGCCCCAGCAGACTGTGGGAAGCCGGTGTGTGTGAGGCATTTGGTGTCCTGTTTTGTAATCCCTTCAGCATCTTGCAAACCAGGGTGTTGAGCGTTCCTGCTAACCGATTCTACCGAGCTTTGCAACAATTGTACATAATTACATCTGAAAGAGGAAGGCCTGATCAATAGCGCCGTGGTCGGGTTACAGAGGCTCTGAGGTTAGTGGCTTAATGAGGCGGGGCTTGGACTGGCCTCCCCGTAAGGACTGGGCCGCAGCCTTAGTTTTGAGACATCGAAAACAAACACAGCCTGGACATGGCTTGGAGACAGTTCCCCTAACCGGGCTAAGAGTGATCTGTGCAAGACGTGTGACCAGCTTAGCAGAGGGGGCTGCAGTGCCACCCCCAGGCCACACGGGGGCTTGGAGCAAGCAGTGGGCCGAGGTCCCCTCCCAGGAAAGAAGGGGATGCTCTCCCCTTCCTGGCCACCCAGAAGGAAAGCGTCGCTCCGGTCTGGCTCTCTGAGTTTACTGCACGAGGTCAGCAGGCCTGCTTCCATTTCTAGAGAGAGCAGGCAGCACCTTTAGGGCCTCTCCCCTGCCAAGATCCACCTTAGCCACCGGGGGACTTGGCTGCCTTCTTCCCCCGTGGGAGTGTCCTTCCCCCAGCACCCACCTCATTTCCCATTTCCCATATGGGTCTGTGCATACCCGAAGGTGCTGGGCTGAGTCCTGTTTGAGGCTCTTAAAAAACAGTCACAGGACAGTCAAAGTCACGCAGAAGCCAAGTCCATGGTTTGTGCGCATGAGAGCCTCAGTTCCCCAATTTTCACCCAACTCTCAAAGCCTAATCAAAGACTAGAATTTGCAACCGTTAAGCAAGGGGCACCGTTTCTCCGGCTTCTGTTAAGAGGCTGTCTTGTGGCTGGTTCCCCTGGGCCGCCTGCCCCTCCCTGTCCCAAAGCTGTCTCTTAATTCAGGCCTCTTTCCACTGCTCCGAACCTCCTGCGTGGCAGGCTGAAGCCCCCCAGTGAAATCACACATACATTGCATGCATGCCGTTTCTCATGGGATGCCTAGAGCTGCCAAGAAACTGTCAGAAAGATCTCTGAACGCCTCGAGAACGTTCTACTGCGGAAGAGGTCCGGCGACCCACTTCTGAAAGCCTGGGCTAGACAGAGCCTCCCTGATAGGGCAGGGGCTGGGTAGGCTGGCTGCTGGAGGGGACCTTGGCTCTGTCCATGCAGAGGAGCCTTTGTTCCTAGCAGAGGCTGGAGGTCCCAACTTGCGGGCAGGGGCTGGGGCTGGTAGGAGGTGTGAGGGCTCTATGATTTGCGGGTGGGAGGAGGACTACATCGTTGCCAGGTGTCTGGATCTGGGATGTGTCATCCCCCTACACCTCTGGCTGCTAGAGGCGGCTGTGGTTCCTTGCAACTGCTTTTCCACAGCCTTCTTGTTCTGTTTGCAGACTGCAAGCTCCTCCAGAGTGGTGGGTGCCCGCTGAGCTGTAGTCACAGTATTTTTTTTTTTTGGGGGGGGGGACGTGTGGTCTTTTCAGGCTACTTGATTTGAACCCTGCCCTGGGTCCCCATCCTGAAAATGATCGGTGGAGTCTTTGGCTTAGAACTTAATCTGCTGTCCTACCAGAGGAGGCAGCCTGCTGGATGTGTCTGCGCACGGTCCTCCTTTGACGTCTCTCTGTGTCAAGCCTATGGGTGGGTCATTTTAAAGGTGCCTGTTTTCCAGAAAGGGACCGTGGCATTTGTCCCCGGCTTGTTTATTTCCAGACATGGATTGATTAGACCCAAGAGGAGGAGAGATAGCATCAGATGGAAAGAGTCCTGTTCTTATAAGATGAGATTTTTTTTTTTTTTAAAGTGAAAATAAACATCCGGACAGAATCAGAGAAGGGTGATGGATGAAGGTGGGTGGAAACTGGACCCTCTGGCTCCGAATCGAGTAAATGTATCTGTGAACATTCTGGTTTGAGAGATGGATGTGGTTGTGAGGCCTGTTGATAGGGTTGGGTTAGAGTCACAGGTTATCCTTGCGTCGGGAAATACTTTACCCCTCCCACCCCCAATTTTGGAACCTCGCAGAGAGCAGTGTGTTGGAGATGGGGGACGGAGAGAACACAGGTTGGTGACTTAGCTGCCAGCTGTCTGTCATTGGCTAAGCCACGCCCCCTCCTGCCAGGATCTTCCTGCAGGACTGGATAAAGAAGGGGTGATAGGCCGCTGGTGGACTCGGGTCCACCTTTGACCCCTTTGTAGACTTCCAAGCCAGTCAGGGACACTTTAGCGTTGATCTCTCTCCGTTCTTGCACCTCCTTGTCCCATGACGTCAAGCGTGATGAGGTGCTGACGGTTTTGATGGCAATGAAGGGTCCCAGCCTGTACCCACGGATAATAAATGTCGGTTAGTTATTCCCAGCGCTCAGGTTTGATGGGGAGGTGGGGCTGAATGTCTCTACATCTCGGGCTCCTGAAGGGCGACCACGTTGGTGAGGGTGCAGAAGGGCTTGTTAACTATTTCCCTTCCAGCTCTGAGGGCCGTACGGACCCCCAAGGATGCTTTTTGGCGCTGTGGTATGAGGTCATCTACAAAGGTGTTGGGATGCATTCATGGCTGCCCTGGGACACGTGCAGCCTGAGGGCTGCAGGTTGGCCATGAGGGGTCCTTGTCCTTGTCCATCGGTGGACGGTCTCTGGACCGCCACGTTCAGGCTCTTCTCACTTGTGACAAGAGCTGGGAACGGGCATCTTGTTAGTATCACCTTCCAGGGAAATAACTTACACTGTTCTGAACTCACGAGGGCCGATGGCTGGTCCTCCCAACCAAGGGAGCCTTTGTCAAAGGGAATGAGCAATCTAGGACCATGATACTGGGCGCTGGTTTGGGGCATCCTCCTAGCCCTTAGTACTGTTGGACAAATTATAGGAAGGATCGTTTCTTCTGGTTCCTCTACCTGAAGGCCTAGTCAGGGCAAAGAGAACCTCGGATTGCATTTCTACTTTCTTGTCCAGCTGGCCCTGGATTCTCGGGTGTCACCTCACAGCAGTCTATCGAAGAATCCAGCTTGGCTTCAACTCTGACCTTTGTCCGGGTCTTGGTCTTGATATGGTAAAGCCAAGAGACCAGAATTCAGGGGGTCCTTTTCTCTTCCCCATGCCCCTTCCCCCCATTTGCTACAGTGTTTAGGGATCTGTCCCATCACCTAGAATCTGGCATGACATTGAGTTGTCCTGGGTATTTGGATATTAATTCAGCTTTATTAAAGATCTGTAAATTGGGCCGAGGAGATCGGTCAGTTGATAAAGTGCCTGGAGATCTGAGTTCAAACCTCAGAACCCATGTTAAAAAAAGTCAGAGATTGTTGGCATTTCTTTCTCATCCCAGTCACGGGGAGGATGGGGAGGTTGAGACAGAACTTCAGGACTTACTGGCCAGTTAGTTTGGTCTACTGGGCAATGAAGAGACGAGTTGGTATTTCTTGACAGGGTTTCTCTGTGTAGCCTTGGCTGTCCTAGAACTCACTTTGTAGACCAGGTTGGCCTCAAACTCACAGAGATCCACCGGCCTCTGCCTCCCGAATGCTGGGGTTAAAGGGGTGCACCACCACTACCCAGCTGAGAGACCCAGCTGAAAAAAAAAAAAGGTTGGCTTATGGCAGCTGCTGCCAAGCCTGATAGCCTGATTTGATTCCTGAAACCCACATGGTGGGAGGAGAGAGCTGTCTTCAGAAGTTGTCCCCTGACCTTCACGGGCGTGCTGAGGTGCTGTGGCGTGTGCAATGCCTCCCTGCCCACAGGCCAAGGAAATAAATGTGGAAAGAATTCCTGTTCTTAGGGGAAAAAAAAAACCAAAGCAAGATGGATACCCCTGACCATCTGAGGCTGACCTCTGGCCTCCATCCCCTCCGCCCCCCAACATGAACCACACACACACACACACACACACACACACGCACAAGCACACGCACACGCACGCACACACAGATCTGTAAATGGACAGCTGAGGCTGCTGGTAGTTGAGGCTGGATCTTTGCCCAGGAGCACCTGTGATTTCCAAGGAGGCCGAGAGGGAGTGTTGGCCGGGTTTAAAGAGCTTAACAGCTCAACCCTAGAGGTTGGCTAGAAAAATCAGTAATTTTCCAAGACTAATTCGAAGGGGGTGGAGCTCCTGTGAACGAACTCTTTCCTGCCTGGATAGCAGGGACCTGGAGGACGCTTTTTAATTGTCCCAAAGTGCCTTTGGCTCGGCAAGAAGTGTCCCTGGCTCCAGAGGCCTGCCACCTCCAGCCTCCAGGATATTGCTGACTGTGACAGGTGACTGTGTCATCTTGGCGAATGATCTTTGGTCCTCATTAGTAGGCTGGTTCATTAGTCATATGTGGTTTCTCTGTACCTTTGATTTATCGTCACTGGTACCAGGGACAGGTAGGGAAATTAAAAGGCCTCGTGTTCTTTGTAGCATGGGAATCGGAGCCTGGGAGACGCACAGGATAATTAATATTAGGAATGAGCTGGGATCGAAACAGCTTTGCCTTGAAGAGCTGGCTTTTGCGGACCCATCAACGATACCTTTGGTCCTCCCCATTCCCTGGTTTCCTTCCTCCCTTTGCTGTGTTAGTTCATTTCTCATAGGTGGAGACAGGCTGTAATAACTGGACACATCCCTTGAGAGCCTTG